ATTTTGTTTTATATACAAACCAATATACTTTGAAAAATATAGGACAGTGGGGCTATTCTGTAGAAATGTCAATAATGTTGTAAGCAAAAGCACAATCAAACAACACGGCATGGAAAAATTTCACAGTAAACTACATCTAAGGCTTGACCACAAGAAGCAAACATAAACTAGGGAAATATTCTGAGGGAATTATATTAAGTGAACTGTGAAACTGGAACAGAATTTAATACTATCAAGGTTTGACAGCATAATTTGCTCCACAGCACTAGATGGCAGTGTTCAAACAAACATACTGTGTGTAAGTGTGGATTATGGATTTGGGCTAATTTCTGGCAATCCTATGAATTCTGACAATACCCAGATATCAGCATTTTACGAAAAGTTTCTACTGTGGCCTAAAAAATGGAATTTTAGAAGTATATTAGACTTGAAGGAATAACAACATCAGCACTACCTGCATTAGAGGGTTCACTTTCCTGAATATCCACTTGGATTTCTTAGTTCCACAGGTCCATCACTGGTGCTGTTGAAAAGGCCAGAACATCTATGGCTTGCTACACTAATCTTCCAACTTTCAATGGGCAGTACTTTATGATTCGTTTTTTTTTTTGGTACTGGGGATCGAACTCAGGTCCTTGCACTTGCGAAGTAGGCGGTGGAACCACTGAGCTAAATCCCTGACCCTGATTCTTTTTTTTTGAGACAGGGTCTCACTAAGCAGTTCAGGCTGGCCTTGAACTCATGATATAGCCCAAGTTGGCCTCAAACTTGCTGTGATCCTCCTGCTTCAGCCTCCCAAATGCTTGGATTACAGGTGTGCACCACTACACCAGGCCCTGCTTTGTGATTCTTTTTTGGTACCGGGAATCAAACTCAGGACCTTGCGCTTGCCAGGCAGACGTGGTGCCACTGAGCTAAATCCCCAGTCCATATGATTCTTAAAGCATTATTTTTTCTGGTCCTTTTCTATCTTTGGGTTTTATAATACATACTGTAATTCTGATTTAGGAAGTATAAGAACCCTTAACCCCAAGGTTCACAAAGGAGGAAGTGATAGGCCTACTCTATACTCCTGACTGATAAAGTAGAGTATGAGTCTGCAAACCTGCCTTTTTCTTTCTTTTTTCCTTTTTTTTTGGTACTGGAGATTGAACTTTTTATTTTTTTAAAAGTTTATTTTAAAAATTAAATTTGTAATAACACCATATTTAATGTATGCTTCACCTTCAGGATCCTAAATCCAAGTATCACGGGAATGCAGTATATAAAATCTGGTTTAAATTAATTATCATCTAAATACCTAAAATTTATTATGGATACATGGTAGTTTCTTTTTTTTCTTCCTTTCTTTCACTCCCTCCCTCCCTCCCTCCCTCCTTTCTTCTCTTTTTGGTGGTATTAGGGATGAAACCCAGGGCCTTCACACTGAGCTACGTCCCTAGGCCCCTTTTTGTTTTTAATTTTGAGACAGGATCTTGGCTCAGGTTGCGCTTGAACTTGTTTGTGATCCTTCTGTCCTAACATCCCAGAGTGCTGGGATTACAGGCATGTGCCACCATGCCTGGCTGGATGTTTCTTATTAAACTAATAAAACACACAATTATCAAATGATGCAGTGTTTGGACTTGTGGGCATGTATCGTAGAGAAATGGAAATTTGCTGGGGATTTAGCTCAGTGGTTCTGCCGCCTGACCTTGCAAGCCCAAGGTCCCGAGTTCAATCCCTGGTACCAAAAAAAAAAGAAAAAAGAAATGGAAATTTAAATTCCATAAAAACCTGTAAAACAGGGGTGGGGAAGTTGGGTGGACAAAAGGGAAGGTGGATTCATCAGCGCATGTATGTATGTATGTACTGAGGTAGCACACTGAGTCCTGTTAATATGTATAACTAATACATGTTAAAAAAATCTATACACAAATATTCATGGAAGCTTTATTTATAATAGCCAAAAAACTGGGAACAACGCAAATGGCTTTTAATAACTAACTAAATTGTCAAAAATGGTTCAACAAATTGTGGTTTTCTAACCTGAAAATCCAAAACCTGAAACACTCCAAGGTCCAAATGCTTTTAAGTACTTACACAAAGTCCATATGTGATGTCATGTGACAGGTCACCATCAAAACACAGCATGTTAGAAATATTGTATCAAATTACACTCGGGGTATGTGTATAAGGTATATATAAAACATAAATTAACTTCTGCTTTGGATTGGAATCCTACTCCCAAGATATCTCATTCTGTATATGCAAATACAGTGGACCCTCGAGTTACGACTGGCCTGACATATGAACAACTTGGGTGACGACTGGAATTTTAGTTTTAACTTACGACCAAAGTCTTGAGTTGTGACCTGAATGGCAGTTACTTGTGCTTCCAAATAGTCTCAGATACAGATTTAACCCTTAAAGAGTTCTGGAAGGAACATGACAACATACTTTCCCGTATGGGGTTAACTGAGAAGTAAGTCCTGGGCTGTTGTCACTCTAAGGACACTGAGATCTGCCTGTGTACAGGAGAGAGACTTTGAAGGCTGTGTAGAAGAGCCTGAGCACTCAACTGACCAACCTGAGCTACAACCAGCCCTCTGAAAGGAATTGAGTATACAAATTAAGGGTCCACTGTATTCCAAAATCTGAAAAAAAAAATCCAAAATCTGAAACACTTTTGGTCCCAAGCATTTCAGTTAAGGGGATACTCAATGTGTACTTCCATATCATCTAATACTACTTAGCAATTAAAGGGAACACACCTGACATACACAATAACTTCAATGAATTTCTAAGAATTATACTGAGTAAAAAAAGACACTCTCAAAAGGGTTTTCTATTTTGTATTCTCATTTATATAACAATCTTGAAAGGATAACATAGAAACATAACATGGAAAATGGATTAGTGGTTTCGAGGGCTTAAAGATGGTGGTGGGGGAAGGAGGCAGGGAGGGTAAGACAGGGAAGTCAGTCGGATTACAAAAGGGCAACCACAGTATTTGACTGTGGTTGTGAATACACAGACCTATACACAAGACAGAAGAGCACAAAATGGAACACACACACACACACACACACACACACACACAAACGTAAAATGGAGAAAATGTGAAGATGGTGTGGATTGTGTCAATACTCTGGATGTGATATTATACTGTATTGTGAGATGTTATCAATGGGAAAATAGAGAATGTGGGTAAATGGGATCTTTCTGTATTATTTCTTGTAACAATATAGAAAATTGAATTTAAAAACTGCTTTTGCTTGGTATCTGTTGCTTTCTCAGACCATCAATTATAAAGAAAACCATTTCAACAAGTATTTACAATGCTAAATGTTAAAGATACAGCAACGAGAACAGGGAGATAAAACTGCCTGCCCATGGAGATTTATTTTGGTGAGCACAAAATAGAGAGTGAATAAAGGATAACAACAAACATGTTAGCTGATGAGTTTTAAGGAGAAAATAAAGCAAGCAAGAGGATGGGGGTTGGGGAGACTTGTTTTAAATAGAGTAGTCGGAGAGGACCCCAACTAAACAGAGGACATTTGACACCAGAAGAAGGAAAGGGAGCAAGACATACCTGGGAGGAAAGTACTCAGGCTAAGGGAACAAGAGCAAGGCCCTGTCCTAATGCGGGAGTGCGTCTGGTACATTTGAGGAAAGGCAAGAGTGAAAAGGAATCTGAGGCCAAGTGAGCAAGGCAAAGTACTAGAAGATGAAATTATAGGTACAGGGTTTGGATCAGGTAGGGCCGTGCAGGCCACTGTCATGACTTTGGCTTTTATTTGAGCAAGACAGGACTCCACTGAAGGTTTTCCTCTTGGTAGTACCGTGGATTGAAGCTAGGAATGCTCTACCGCTGAGCTACACTCCACCCTTTTTATTTTGGACAGGGTGTCACTAAGTTGCCCCTGGCTGGCCGGTAACTCTTTATCCTCCCAGCCTCCGCAATAGCTGGGATTACAGGTGTACATCACCACACCCAGCTCACTGGAAGGTTTTAAGCAGAGGAAAGCAACTTATATTTTATGAAGATTACCTTGGCTGCTGGGCTGAGAATAAGGTTGGTACCAGCAAATGCAAAAGCTGGGATACCAGATAGGAGACGACTGCAAAATCCAGATGAAAAAGTTATGTACTATATACAGGGGAGATGACATGAGTGGATGTCATTATGTTGCCACAATAAGACCTTGAGAGATTAGTGAAAAGTCAAACAAACTTGTACTGCAATTAAAACCCTTATAAAATGTTACTTTGTTTTGTTACTCTGGACAAAGCTAGGGCTTTAACTATACAAACCTTATCTTGTGACCCAGAGAATGTGTCCTCTAGAGTTTCTGTACTTCCCAGATTGAAGAGCTGAGTGCCTGGCTGTAACCCAGGGCTGGAGATATCTGAGTCCCCCATCTGAGTCTTTAAAAAGTAAGAAAAAGAGACAGTATATTATGTAGAAAAAAACTGCTATTACTTGGCTCATAACATAGCATTTGAGGTTTGATAAAAAACAAGCGAAAAATCCCACAAAATGTTTGCTCTGAACTCCCATGTAAATAACTTACTAATAAAAATGATTACAAAGCCAAGTACCTAATTTTAGACCACAGAGTTAGCAACAATTGGTTTTTAGCTTTTTAAAGGAAAAGCCAATGGTATTACTCTACTACGTATTCTCTTGTATTTTATGTTTTAAGTCAACACACTATAAAATTAAATGTTTATGGGCTATATCATTCTAGTTGTGCACCACCTCTACAGGCACGATATAAAACAGTTCCAGCATCCTAAGCTTCCCGTGATGTCCCACTGCAGTCATGTTCTCTGACTACGTCTGGCAACCTGCATTCTATTCTGCCACTGTACTTTGCCTTTTAATAAAAGTATCATATACATGGGATATAAGGGCCGGGGATTTAGCTCAGTGGTTTTGCCGCCTGCTGCACAAGCGCAAGGACCTGAGTTCGATCCCTGGTACCAAAAAAAAAAAGGGATATAAGCAGAACGCTGACTTCTTTCACTTGGTGTAATGCCTGAGAGTCATCCAAGCTGTTGAATGGTATTAATAAGTCATTCTTTTTTTTGGTTGGCATTTCTGCATGATATGTAAATATATTTTTCTTTTAAAAGTTTTATATTTTACATTTAGATCTGTGATACAGTCTGAGTTGATTTTTATATAAGATGTTACAATTAGGTTGAGGTTCATTTTTGTGTGCATACGGACACCCAACTGTTTGAACATCATTAAGTTCTAACTTGCATATAACACTAAAAGTGAAAATATAGTTTGTTCTTGAAAAGAATCCTCAAAAAATGACTAGACAGAGATGGATGCCAGGAGTGGTGGCACACACCTGTAATCCCAGCCCTCAGGAGGGTGAGGCAGGAGGATCACCACAAGTTTGAGGTCAGCCTGAACTGCATAGTGAGGCCCTGTCTCAAGCAAGCCAAGAGGAAAAAAACAGACATGGAGTTGGGATGATTTGGCAATACAAAGTCATCTGGCAGTCACTGCTGGGGCTGAACTCCAGGCGATCCTTTCACCCAGCAACAGGCTCCCAGTTTGCCTCGGTTCCCTTTGGCCTGCTGCACTCACCACCCGGCTCTTGAGGGATCTGAGTTTGCAATATCTAAGCTATGAGATGGGCTTACATTATGATGTACTTTATTATTTTTATTTTTATTTTTTTGGTACTGGGGATCGAACTCGGAACCTTGCGCTTTCGAGGCAGGTGCCGGACCCACTGAGCTAAATCCCCGGCCCTATTTTTTTTTTTTTTGGCACCGGGGATCGAACTCAGGTCCTTGCGCTTGCACAGCAGGCGGCGAAACCACTGAGCTAAATTCCCAGCCCTCCCTAGCCCTATTATGATGTACTTTAATAAAAGTTCTTAAGAATTTTATCTACTTTTGATTCTTGTGTAGGGCCTCTATTGAAGTTTTATTTTATGCATTTTAATGACATTCAGTGTTTGTAACATTTACGAGAAAAGCACAACCTCAGACAAACTTGCTGGAGGGCAATTTTACAATATTTGGTAAAAACTTTAAAAATGTCAAAATCTTTGATCTAACAATTTCATTTCAAGCAATTTATCTTAGGAAAGAAATTAATGGTGCATACAAAGAGCTAGCTCCAAGGCTGCATCACCAAGTTCTTAACAAAAGGAACCAGAGAAATCTAGGGTATTGTTTATTTAAGCATAGAATGAAAAATAGACAGCTATTAATATCATAGTTCTTTAAAAAAAACCTTCACACTACCAAATGAAATCTCATGGGGAATCTGAGATGAACAGTTATTGCCAACAAAAAAGTAGTTCTTTGGGGAAAAAAGTTACAAAGAATATTTAATAAAAACAGTATATGCAAACATAGCACACACTTGGATAATTTTTGGGAGGCTATGTAACAAAGTACTAGCAGTGATTATTTCTAGGGGGTCTTTCCCTCCTTCCCTGTCTCTCTTCTTTTCTTCCCCCCTTTTGTTTGAGACAGGGTCTTGCTATAGTCTAGGATGGCTTTGAATTTGCTACCTAACTGATGTAACTCAGTAGTAGAGCATATACTCAGGATGTACAAGGCCGTGAGTTCCACCCCCAGCACCAAACCCAAAAAACTGAACAAAATAAAAAGGCCAAAAATAAGACCTACCTCCTTCTTTCCTTTGTGACTACTTGCTTGTCAGTCAGTAAGCCAGGCAGTCCTGGCACTAGTGCACAGCACCTAATTTCTGTCTTATGGGGAGCCTTGATGCAGTCATTACTTGGGACAGTGAACAGCAAAAGGCCTCAAAAAGCAGAACAATGACCCAGACTTCATTAAGGGTATGAGAGGGGATTTTGGGGAATCTTTTTTCCCCTGCAGTGCTAGGGATCAAACCCAAGACCTCAGCATGTGAGGCGAGTGCTCCACCACTGAACTACATTCCCAGCCCTTACAATAAACCTTAAATCTAAAATATGACTCTTGAAATTTATGCTCATTCAATTTCCTATGAATCAATGAATTTATAATGGAGATGACTGCTTTTCCAGTATTTGCCACAAAGTGTTCCTATTTCTGTACGAGAAACTGAGGAATCTGGTACAACTTCAAACAATTTCTGAGCTCTAATGGATATTTCTCTACCCTTTTTTTCTGCCTTTTGTGTCTGCTTTTGTTTTTTTTGGTACTGGGGATCGAACTCTGGTCCTTGTGCTTTTGAGGCAGGCGGCGGCACCACTGAGCTAAATCCCTGCCCCTGCTTTTGGTGTTTTTTTTTTTTTTCCTTAAATTCTTTTATTGGTACATTTTAGGTACACAATACGTTTACATTTATCATTGGGTGCTTGTACCTGTACGTGATGAATCTTGGTTCTTATTTTTTCCCCATTCCCTGCCCTCCCTTCACCCCCTCCACCCTTCCCCCATTTACATAGACTTCGTTTCCATTTCTTTTTCTTTTCTCATAATTTTTCCTTTCCCTGGTGTTTTTTTAAATAGAAGGTTTATTATAATTTATGGTGAGTATGAATATTTTTAGAGGAAACTACCTTCCAAAACACTTTTTTCAAACTTTGCTGCCTGAATTCCAGATTCTTGAGATATTACAAGGCAGCGGGTAAAAAATGGTCCTATACTGAAACTGACCTGGGAATTGGCAGTACTGCTGCTTCTACTGTGGGACTTCTCAGTCCTGAGAGTCATAAGACCCCAAGAGGATGCGAGGAGGAGACAAGCGAACAACATTTCTGGAACTCTTCTGACCAATCTGAACCTTTTTTCAAAGATCATCTATTAATAACCCAGAAGCTAGTGTTTTAGCAGAATTGTTTGGGAAACATGGTTTTAAAATAATGCTTTTCACACTTTGTTTCTTAAAGATTTTGTGAGGGAAGACAAGTGGAAATGGAAAGAAAGCACTAATCTCAATGGTTAGTGAATAAAGTAACAATTGTAATTCTGCTGTAATAAAATGTAGCAGTAGAACTTTCAGGTCTCACCCCAGTGAAACATGAGGCTTTGAGGTATGCATGCCAAGGGAAAAGCCAAGACAGTTTCACAGCCATAAGGTTTGAGACACTGTCAGGGAATGTCCACTGCTCGGTATATAGTGAGCACTTCATATGCATATGTTGAACAGTTTAGTTAATGTACTGCCACTTTATTTGATATGTAAGAGAAAATTTTATCAGTTAAAAGGTAAAATGCAAAGCAGAAGACAGAGAAAACAATTTCAGAAAAGCCTCACATTTGGGTAAAATTTTAGTATTATGAGTTGCAAATTATTAGAATACTTTTCAAAACCTACATAAATCCCAAGGCCATTTAGCATCCTAACAAGAGACTGCAGAAGTGAAGAAGGGGCATGAAGCTTTGCCAGAACTACCCGTTGTGGTCCAACTTCCCCATTTTCTTCTAAAATAATTTTACTATAATTACAGGAAAAAAATTCTCAATTTTTCTGCCCAAACAAGCATCGTTTAGGCTTGAAATTGCAGACATGCTTACTTTTGAGCCAATTATTTCTGCTAGTCCACGAGGGGATGTTCCCAGTTGGACTCATAAGCCTCTTGCAGACCTCCTGCCCTTTTTCTGGTACCCCTGTCAGTACGCAAGAGAGCCTTACCCTCTCGTACTCATCCTTGGCTCTACTCAGCATTTCCAGGATGTCGATGGGCCTGTGGTCGCTGCAGCCATTGGCCTGGCTGGGACTCTGTTTGTCTCGAGCAGCTTGCTGGGATCGGCGTGTCTCCTCTTCTACCACACTGGATGAGGAGAAGCAGGTTTTAGAAAGGCCTCTTCAGACACAATCTGACCCAAGAACTCTCTTGGTGTCCATCTTCCAAGGACACACAAGAGTGTCCAATGGTGATAACACCTTAGCAATCCATAATGCTGGCGCCTAGTTACTGCATTCCAGAAACACAACTCAGAGTTTCACCCATTTCATTCACAACAGCACCAACCAATACATTTTGCCTTCCTTTCTAGTGGTGGTGGAAGTAGGTACATTAAAAACTCCACTACATATCCTCTACAAGCAGCTCACAATCGGCCAAACTAAGTGGTATAGTAAATTTGAAAATGGACACATTATTACTAAGTCTGCACTGACAAGGGCAATCTTGAAAGTGAGTCTTGGTGAAAAAGTTAATGATAATGCTACAAAGAAACAAGACTTTGCTTTTCTTCATCCTTAAAAATCACTAAGTGGGTGACTGAGCTGAGTGTGGTTGGAATGCACTTTATTTCATTTTTTTTTTTTTGTACTGGGGATCGAAATCAGGACCTTGCACTTGAGGCAGGCACAGTGCCACTGGGCTAAATCCCTGGCCTTATTTCTTCTTTTTTTTTTTGACAGTGACTTCCTATGTAGTTCAGAGTGTCCTTGAATTCACTACATAGCCCAGGCTGGTCTAGAACTTGAGATCCTCTTGCCTCAGCCTCCCAAGTGCTGGGATTATAGATGTGTGCCACCATGCCGAGCAAATGCACTTTATTTTGGTTGGTACTACTTAAGCCAATTCTTCACTTGAAAACCCATAGGGCAAGCAAAGTCTCAGGTTAAGAATGTCACTGATAAGGCTGGGGTCTTCAAATCTTTTTTTCTACCAGTACGAGAGACTGAACCTAGGGAGTATTGAGTTATAGCCCCAGCCCGTCTCATTCTTTAATTTTAAAATACAATCTGGGTAAAATGCACAGGCTGGCCTGGAACTTGTAAGCCTCCTGCCCCAGCCTCCAAGATGCTGGAACTACAGGGGTACACCATACCGCTCAGTGCATAGGCTTTCATATTTAAAGAACTCCTCTCCCTGAATAGAGAGGTTTGAAGCAATCACAGCAAAATGTCAGGAACTAAAAGGTGTATGGAAAGCACGTGGATATTTTATTTACTGTATTTTTCTTCAAGCCTGAAATAAGTAAAATAGTAAGTTTTAATAAGGCAACTAATTAAAAAATTATTCAGGTGTTAATTCTAACTGTAACAAACAAGTTCACCTGTCATGGGATTTTATGAGCACAGCCACAGCTTGTTTTTATTTTTTTACATTTTTCGGGGATCGAACTCAGGACCTTTTGCTTTTGAGGCATGCGGCTGAAACACTGAGCTAAATCCCCAGCCTTGCTTGTTTTTATTTTGGGACAGGGTTTCACTAAATTACCCAGGCTAGGCTCAAACTTGTGATCTTTTTTTTTTTTTGGTACCGGGGACGGACTCGGGACCTTGAGTTTGTGAGGCAGGTGGAGGAACCACTGAGCCAAATCTCCAAACTTGTGATCTTGTGTTGGCCTTTCAGAGTGCTGAGATTACAGGCGTGTGCCACCATGTCTGGCTCAGCCCCAACCTGTGATTGTATTAACTGAAAACTTAACAAACAGTGTCATTCAAAAGTGAAAGGTTTGTTTTTATGGAATAAGAGGAACAGGACAAGAGGCCACTCAATGTCAGTTTACTAACAACACGTGCACGTGCACGTGTGTGTGTGTCAGTGATGTTATACAAACAGTGGGTTAAACAATATTAAACAGATTTTTAAAAATAGCAGAACCATTCTGAGTTTTTAACATGCTAAACTGTGTTTCTCCAACAAGAGTGGACTTGTATATTTTCTCAAATTTTATTTGACCATAGAATCTTTGTTGCTTTATGGCAATGTGTAGTTTATCTAGAGCAGTGGTGGTGAACCTATGGCCATATGTTATTTGTTTAAGACAAAAGATGTTAATGTATGAGTTGTTTTTTTCTAAACTAAAACCTTAGTATTTAGGTTTCACTGCAGTGTTGGTACTTCGCCATAAATAAATGGGTTTTCAGGGCCAGGGAATTAGCTCAATGGTTCTGCCACCTGCCTCGCAGGTGCAAGCTCCCAAGTTTGATCCCTGGTATCAAACAAACAATAAATGGGTTTGGGGTTGCAGTTTGGGATGGGTCTCTAAAAGGTCCCCCATCACTGAGTCTTAGCTCTTAGTAAGTTAATTACTCCTACAACAAATGTAAAACCATGGGCTTCACGGCAGATGAGAGAAGCCTGGGATGTGACACGAGAGTCATATCTAGCACCAAGTGTTGATTTACTACTCAGTCACAGGCCACACCAGCCTGACTGCACCTTCAGAAAAGACTCTGTCACACAGCCTATTTTTCACCTATCCTCTTTCCATGCCACCTGTCTCGGCCAAGTCAGTGTTCAACTCTTCTCTGATCTGGACTGGATCTGTAATAATTTTGGTTCAAAAGAACACTAGACTTGAGCTGGGCATAGTGGCTCACACCTGCAATCCCAGCACTCAGGAGGCTGAGACAGAAGCTGAAGACCAGCCCGGGCTACACAGTGAGTTTAAGGTCACCCTGAACTACATAGCGAGATCTGGTTTCAAAAAAACCCCCAAGCCACACAAAGCAAGGAACACTTCTAACAGCCACAACTGCTCACATGTAGAACAAGTCATCTCAGGATGCCTGATACTGAGGAAAGCAGAAGCTGTCAGGGCTGGTGTGGAAGGGACTCTCACGTGGACGAGGCTTGGACTCTAAGGCCTCTTCCAGTTCACACTTTGCCTCTTTCCTTTCAAAACAAAACATGTCTCTAAGGCTGTAAGACCAGAAGTAAAGCTCCCTACCATGAGCTCTTTAAATTTTATATAGTCTATCTCAGCAAATATTAAAAAACGGTTTTATTATCAAGAACAGTTTCTGACAGACTGAATTCCCTTTTTGGGAGAGTCAACATCTTCTAAGTTTGATTTTCAACTTTGCCACTGCCCAAAGAGAATACTCAAACTTAGACAAAGCATAGGTCTAGAAGTTCACTCACTTTTCTACTTAGCGTCTCAGTTTCCATAAACACCTTTTGGAACAAATCCATTTTTTACTTGGAGAATTTATAATACTGCATATTGTTGCTGTCAAAACAGTTGTAAGTATTTAATAGAATGGGTACTTGACAGACATGCTTATTTATTTGAGGTGCTGAGAAATCCAACCCAGGGTCTCCTGCAGGCTAAGTGAGCATTCTGCCACTAAGCTACACCCCTAGCATAGATACATTTGTTTAGATACACACACATATGCCAAAAAATTTTACCAGCATTTCTAGTTAGTAGAGGTTATATTCTGAATTAGGTAGAGAATAGAGGCATATATAGACAGATTAAAAAAAGAAAAGAGAGTCTTTTTTTATCTGTGGTGACCAGAAAGTCACCTATCTCACAACTGGCATCATTTATAAAGTATTCTCTTCATCTATAAATAGGCCAGACATTTAAATCTACCAACAGGGTACTTCCTAATCCCTTCCCCTGCTTCCAGTTAAACATGCTGCAATGTAAACAAGTCTCTCTTTAGGGCATTTCTAGTGACATAACATCCTGTTTCTACTTCCTCACCCTATTTTTGGGTTCACTACAGTATTTTCAGGTAAGCCCGAGTCTGTGGGTTACCACTTGTCCTGAGAGAGAAAAATGTTCAAAATGATCCCCTCCTCAGCTGTTAGGGCTCAAGAGAGACAGATTCTTTTACTCAGAGCCCCAGTGCTACCATCTTGCAAGAGAAAATGTGAATATATGAGTATACTCACAAGTTTAGATACTTAAGAAAAATATTCTGGATTTCTGGATAACTGTGAATAAAAAACAAAAAACAAAAAACAAACAACCAAAAAACCCAACCAAACAAACAACACCCCCACCCTATTTCTTCTATGTAATCAGTGGGCTTTGCCGTCACTTTCAAAACCAAACACAACAAAATGGTCCAGGGCTAGGTGTGTAGTTCAGTGGCAGAGCACATTCTTAGCAACTGAGAGGCCTTGGGTTTAACTCCCAGGAACACCCCACCCCCAAAGTTATTATTAAAGGTCATGAGGTGGGGCCTCATGATGGCATTAGGGATTTATAAGAACCGCAGACAGACCTGAGCAAGGAGGCTTGTTGTCATGTGATGCACCCCCAGAAGTCAGTGTCATCTTGGGCTCCCCAAACTCCAAAACCATGAGGTAAGTCAGTCACCCCTTCCTTTTTTGTTTGGTACCAGTGATCGAACTCGGGTCCTTGCGCTTGCGCAGCAGGTGGTGAAACCACTGAGCTAAATCCCTGGCCCCTCCCCTCCCCTTTTGGAGACAGGGTCTTACTTATGTAGCCCAGGCCTTGAACTCATGGGAATCCTCCTGCCTCAGCCTCCTGAATGCTGGGATTATAGGCAGGTGCCACCACACCCGGCTCTAAACCCCTATTCTTAATAAACGCCTTTGTTAAAGAATAGTTTTCTTTTTTAGAGATTAAGTTATAAAAAAGAGTGCAGGTCTAGAGAGCTAACCCTTTTTCTAATATGCATGGCTACAAGTTACTCGGGAGCCAGGCCCCCCAGGGTGCACTGAGTGCCACACACTGGTCTGTCCTGAGCCAAGAAATGACAGGAGTCCTGGGTTAGAGCACGGGGTTAGCCATAGCCACCTGTGCTTTCAATTTTATGTGTAGCTTTTCAGAAACTGTAATGGGTGTGGCGGCACATGCTGTAATCCCAACTGCTAGGGAGGCTGGGGAAGCACGAGTTCAAGGCCAATCCAATCCCGCTAACTCTGCAAGGTCCTGTCTCAAATTCTAGGTGTCCAAACTGTGGCCCGCAGGTAGACAGGCCTTGCTCCCTTGGGCTGCATTGAGTGGAGAAGAATCACCTTGGGCCACATATAAAATACATACAAAGGGTGATCAAAATATACAGAGAACGCTTCAAGTAAAAGATACATTTACTTCAAAATACTCTCTATTGCTTTGAACACTCTCATCCCATCTTTCCTGCTATTTTTTGAAGCAGCTGTAGAGGTCCTCTTTCATGTCTTTATGAAGTGTGTCAAAAACATGGTGAATTCTGCTGCCAAGTGCCATCCAATGGAAAGGCAGCTCATAAAACATCATGGCGTCCTCATCCACCTTACTCACCAGATATGGCATCATGCAACTTCTGGCTCTTTGTCAAAGTTAAAATGACCATGAAAGGTAAAGGTTTTGAATTGATCAAGATTTGGAGGCAGCCAGAACAGTATAACAATAGACGACTTCCAGAACGGCTTCAGAAAATGGCAAGAATGATGGGATGATC